AATTCTGTAAAATCGTTTACAGCAAAACTTGTAATATAATAATGTAATTCGTATAACATTTGTATTATATTTAATTTTTAATCTAATTTTTTTGAATAATATAAAGTTAATAATTTTATCTTTGTTAACATACTGTAAAATACTACAGATGTTGTTTGATGTTCCTGATGAAGTTGATCGGGATTTATATACAAAAGTAAATTTCATTAATACTTTCTATTTCCGAGTTAGAAATTTTTGAATCGGATGCTAGAACTTTTTTGTTTGACAAATATAGCATGTGCGTGATATTTAATATAAGATTAAGAAACAAATTACGAATTAAAAATGTTTTAATAAAAAAATAATTTTGGTTTTATGAACCAACAAGCCGTGGCAAGCTAATATTTTAATATTTTGCGTCTAATTATAAAATGGAAAATATTAATAATGGTTTGCCGTGCATATAAGGTTTCCAAAATTTTCGGGGTCTCAGATTTGCGAAGGATCTTCTAATTGATTTCTAATTTTTTGTTTCTATTGATTCTTAAATTTTCGCTATTCAAACAAACTCGTCTAGCAACATAATAAATATGCACAGAAAAATTACGCGTCTAATGTAAAGATCACCAAGATCACAGTGATACTTTATATCAAATATCGTTAATATCAGACATGAATTTCTATATGTTTACACATTATGCTTGTTTTCTCCTAATTCCATTCGGATAGATTTGATTTTGATTTTTAAAATGTATGAGTATGGGATAAATATATGGATTTTACAAAGTGCATGTGTGTGTTTTTTATGGCGCGAACAAAGTCTGATCGCTATTTGTTAAAATCTTTTCAACTCGATGCCTTGGCAGTGACAATTCTAACTACTTCTTACAAACTACTGTGTAAATACGAGAAACATATTCTCTCCTTTCTTCATTTTACTCTAAAAATATGTGAACAAAGATAACTGGCTCGTCAAAGAGACGTGTTGACCTGCAACAAAGCCCTCTTTATATGAATATTTTATACGCTCTTATATGTACGCTCTTGTAAATTACAATAGGAAGAGGAGGGAGAGAGGGGGAGGATTAATGACACCCTTTGGTTTGGGATGTGGCCATTTAAAGGCTTATTAAGATCAATTCGCGCGAATGCATAGAAAAATCGATCAATCACACGGACTTGAAACAAACGATACTACAGTATTACACGTGTTACGTATTTTTTTATGTATTGTAAATATTACTGCTTGACCTTTCTGTGCGTGTTTTTTTACTCGGCTACGTCCGTTTAAATAAATCGGATTTCCATGCTTTCCATGCTATTAAACGAGAGGATCTATTTTGATGAGAGGTCTATTCCTCTTATTCTTAGCTTCATGTGTCTTGTCCAACATTTTTAATTCTGGGC